TGGGGGTTCGGCCTTAACCCCACCCTCGTGGGGTGTTGTTTAAAAAAAAAAAAACCTCAACATTGTGGATGTTCTCTATAAATTGAACAATGCTCCATTTCGAGAGAGAAAGAGAGAGATCGAGAGAGATGGGTAGTGAATGTGAAGATTTATACAGCAACATGCCAAGAAAGCAAGCACAAAAGTGTCAACACAGTCTCCAAATGAAGCACAAGTTGGTGACTCTATTTCTTATTGTGGCAACCAATCTATTCACCATCTATATCTTGACAGGCCCCCACTCCAAGTGCCAATACTTCCCCACAAATACAATCTCAACCGCAACAACAGCCTCTCAGCCACTCTTCCAAGAACTCAATGCCACCCGCTCCCACCTCACCGACCTCAAAACCGAGCTCCACTCGGCCCGTGCCCTCACCCGAGACCTAATCAACCAACTCCGCCAACCCACCACCACCACCACCACCTACGACGACCTTCTCCGCACCATCTCAGACGAAGCCAGACTCAGCATCGGGCCCCACAAGCTCCCTTTCGGCCACAACCCCCGCATGGGCTCCGACCAGATCTACTTCTCGGTCGGGTCCGGCTGCCTGAAGCACGCGCACGACCTCGACAAATACATGTCGTACGAGATCGGCCGCGACTGCCCCTCGGACGACGCCCTCTCCCAGCTCCTCATGCTCCGCGGCTGCGAGCCCCTCCCCAGGCGCCGCTGCCACCCCAAGTCCCCGCACAACTACATCGAGCCTGCCCCGCTGCCCGATAGCCTGTGGGCCACCCCGCCCGACTCCAGCATCGTGTGGGACCCCTACACCTGCAAGAACTACACCTGCCTCATCGAGAGGAGGAACGGCCCGGGCTCGTACGACTGCAAGGACTGCTTTTACTTGCAAGGCAGGGAGAAAGTTAGGTGGCTCCACGACAACGGAGGGCTTGATTTCGGGATAGATCGAGTCCTCGCCGCGAAACCGAAAGGCACAATCCGGATCGGGCTCGATATTGGGGGCGGCTCGGGCTCGTTCGCCGCCCGGATGATGGAAAGGAACGTGACCATAGTCACGACCTCGATGAATTTCGACGGGCCTTTCAACAGTTTTATTGCGTCCAGGGGGCTCATCTCGATGCACATGACCATCTCGCAGAGGCTCCCGTTTTTCGAGAACACGCTCGATATCGTGCACTCGATGCACGTTATAAGTAACTGGATTCCTGATGCGATGCTGGAGTTCACTCTCTACGATATATACAGGGTGCTCAGGCCCGGGGGACTCTTCTGGCTCGACCGATTCTTCTGCTTCGGGTCGCAGCTCAACGGGACGTACGTGCCCATGTTTGAGCGGGTCGGGTTCAGGACGCTGAGGTGGAATACGGGCATGAAGTATGACCGTGGGGTCGACAAGGACGAGTGGTATTTCTCGGCTTTGTTCGAAAAGCCCATGTCTTGACTCTTGAGTTATGTTTATTTACATGTAACTCGAATTTAAAGAATTTGGACATTGGCACTATATTGGGAACCTTGTTTTTGGACGACCAAGGTTGCTAAGAAAGGAAAAAAAAAACCGCCCAAAGTTGTTCACCGTGGTCGTGTTATGTGCATGGCTTTTGTTTTTTTAGTTGTTAGTGGAGTACTTTCGACATTATCCAAGAAGAAACATGGTTTTAGTGAAACAAAGCTATGTTTTATTCTGTGTCTGTTTTTTCCTTGTCTTGTCTTAACAGAAGACACGCTAAATACCGTTACAGTCCCGTTATGGAACCATTTCGTCGAAATTTGTATTTGTTATATCATTATGCAACCGTCATGGATAGTTGATCTAACGGTTATAAGCCCCGACAGAATGGATCTGTAACGGAACCGTAGAATCTCCCAATACCATATATGCATGCCAATAGAAATTCAAATAACAAAAATATAAAGTAAGAAGAATTACAAAAGTTCTTTCTCTATACATTTGGCAATCTGTTCTCAAGCTCCTACAATCATAAAACATACTCAAATCTGAAATAAGCTCACCAAAAAAAAAAAAAAGAAAAAGAAAAGAAAGAAAGACAGTATAATTTGAATCACTCAAGAAAACACTTTCTGGTACTCGAACAAGCGACAAACAAAATTCGAGCGACAGATCAACACGTAAAAGATACTAAAAAAATAAAAATTCTATTACCATCACAGAACTAAGTCTCCCTATTTCGGCTCCAAATTGGAAGGAGGATAATTCCCACTGTAAGCAAACAGGCTCTCATTACTGTACGGGTGCTCGAAACTTTTGCTAGCCCCTTCATAACTTGCGGAGGTCGAAGCCGACTCAGCATTAGGATTCAGACCGGCCATTTTCATAATATTCTCGATATCCTTAACTACCTCGCTCATTGTGGGCCGGTGAACCCCTAGCTCCTGGACGCACGCCAGTGCCAGGTCAACAAGTTTTTCAACGCTTGCTGGCGACAGGCTGGCAGCAACTACAGGGTCGAAAAGGCTTTGGAGATTGTACAGATCCTTGGACGCGTCCATTGCCTGCTTCACCTCACGAACAATGTATTTTCCCTTTTCGATGGGAGTTTTAGAGGTCAGAAGTTCTAGAAGGACTACCCCGAAACTGTAAACGTCACTCTTTTCGGTTAGTTGTTGGGTCATGTAGTACTCAGGATCCATGTATCCCTAGTATAGTTTCAAAAAAAGAAAGAAAGATATGTTTTAATTTTGATAATTAAAAAGTTAGCACTTGTAATTACACTTGATCACTTACCATTGTGCCTTTAACTTGGGTTGTAATGTGGTCCCTTCCGGAGTCACCCATCGGCTTAGAGAGGCCGAAATCTGCTACTTTGGCATTAAGGCGATCGTCCAATAGGATATTGTTGGATTTGATGTCTCGGTGTATGATGGGAGGATCGGCAAGGTCATGAAGATATTGCAAGCCCCGAGCTGATCCAAGAGCTATTTTAAGTCTCCTCATCCAGTCTAATCTGATCCCTGTCCTTCCTGAAAACTCACAAAATAGTCTTGTTCTCAAGTGTTACCCTACAGATTGCTTTTGTAAGTAGAACATTAGGAGAAATAGAAGAACCTGAAAGACTGTCCCTAAGCGTGCCGTTTGCAATGTACTCGTAAACCAGCATTTGTTCACCCTGCTCAAAACAAAATCCAACTAGGCTGACGAGGTTCTTGTGGTGGACCCTCGAGAGGAGCTCGATCTCAGTCTTGAACTCCAGCTTGCCCTGCATCGACCCTTGCTGGGCTCTTTTAATGGCAACCAGCTTCCCGTTCGAAAGTATTCCTCTATACACCTGAAAAACTTGAAAGGAAAAGGACAAAGAAAATGAGGATGGTGTAGATAAAGATCGATTACACGGAGCAGCTAGAATATTGAAAATGGTAGCATCAACATTTTCTTAATAGAGTAGAAGAAAAACTTTGACAAGCTTCCACTCCTTTGTTACAGCATAGAAGGTTTGATACTTGAACAGAGAATAAAAAAAAAAATGTTTGGGACAAAAGACAAGAAATCAGAACCTTCCCATAGCCACCCTCTCCAATATCATTGGCCTCCGAGAAGTTATTCGTGCTTTGCTTAAGTTCCTCGAACAAGAAACATTTTGCGCCTTTCAACTGAGGAACTCCACCGCTGTTTGTATTTGGGTCCCACGCCGCTGCAAGTATGAATATAAGATGGTCACAATTGATGAGATCTGTGCATAAACACAATTACACAATTCGAGCAAATTCAGACAAACATTACCAAAAGGATCACTCTTTTTAGCAGCTGATTCTGCTCGTCTCTTTTGGCGGAAAGCATAAACTCCGGCAATCACTAACAGCAAAAAGAGGACAGCACCACCAACAGTTGCACCTACAATAACACCAGTGCTTGATGACTTGTGTGACCTCTCTCCCTGCCCTGATCATTAATACCAAAACCAACACGAAAACAGAATGTAAGTGATAAAAAGGGAAAAAAAATAAAGACAAAGACACAAGAGTTTTCACAATGAGTACCTGCAAAATACTGATAGCTGCTGGCAAGGAAGAAAAAGGGCCCGAACTCAGGTGGGGGCTTAAAAGTTTGATTGCTTAGAATAAACCCAACTCTGGAAATCCCCGTGCGGTTGAAATAATCGAGGCCAGACGGGAAAACTTGCAGACTGAGCACAAGGTAGTTGTCTAAGTCTCTCATTGGGCTGCTCAAAGAAACCGAGTCTACAGGAAGTCCGTTCGACTGAAAAGTGGACATCAATTTCTGCTGAAGGGAGATGAAACGGCTCGTGTTCCCATAATCGGAAAATGCTGGAGCCCGGAAAAACAGCATCCCAGTGTACGGGTGCATGCACTTGCAGGTGGGGCTTGAAATTTTATCCGAGCTACACAAAACAGGCGTGCAGTTTTCTGGGGGTGTTGAGTATGATGTGTTCGCCTGTCGAGGAATTTGGCAAAAGGTCTGTGTTTCTCCTCCTTCATTGCATATTGGATTTCCCAAGAGTCTGCAGATGTTAATCAAAATTCAAAACCATGTTAACTTTATCAACATAACAGGAAAAAAAAAATAAAAAAAAAGGAAGTGATTATTGAATAACTGTGGGTACAATTAGTGTTTTTACATAATTTGGATATTGTAGCCCGCCCGTTGAGTGAAGGCATCGATGCTATTGTTTTGTAAATCGATCAACTGAAGCTGGTCACTGTAGCTGGAGCCAATGTTCAATGTTTCATTGACCTGATTGTTCTTCAAAGCCCTGAATGATAGAAGAGTTACGTTTCGTGTAGCCATGTGAAAGGACATGAGCTTGTCGAAATAGTTAACTTACACCATTTGCAACTGGGGAAGGCTAAACAGGGAAACTGGAAGTGGCCCTTGAATTTGCGTGTTCTCCATTATCCTGGAGGTTTCGAGTTATTACATCAGATTCATATAACATCTTTAAGAAAAAGAAAGAAAAGAATGAATAAAAGATGTTTTACAGTGAAGTCAAAGACTGCAAAGATGAAAACCATGCCGGGATATCTGTGGTGTCAAATGTATTATTGCTCATGTCCCTGCAAACATTTTAGTTCCTATAAATGATTAGCCACCTCGCCATACCATGATATGGGGCTTTCGAACAATATGCATTTAACTTACACATAGTTGAGTGCGCTCATGCCGGTTAGGTCAGGAACGAGTCCTGTCAACCTATTATTCGCCAAGAACCTGAAAATGTTCATTCAACTGCGTGTCAAAAAAAATTATGACGAAAGGACTGGAAATAATATCATTCGATAACACATATTTTACTTACAGCTCCTGGACAGAGGTGAGGTTGTTGAGATTTTCTGGAACAGGTCCACTTAAAGTGTTCCTATCAAGCCGCCTGTGATTCGAACAATGGATATTCAGCTAAAAAAAAATGTGAAAAACGGGTCGGCCCAAATTTTGTTTGTTTTGTAATTTTGTTAAGTTACTTACACAACCTCCAGTGTCTGCACGAGCCCGAGTGTGGAAGGGATAGATCCACTTAGCTGATTGTTTTCAAGAAGCCTAAGTATAATTTGAAGAAGGGAAACAAAAACAAAACACAGATAAATAAACCGGACAAAGTAAAAAGTACAGCAGATGGTCACTCTGGGTTGTATCTAGTGGTACTTTACTTACAAATGTATGAGTTTCAAATTCGAGTTAAATAGCTGGGGTGGTATTCGGCCAGACAACTGATTCTTTCCAAAATGGCTGCACGAAAATTGAGAAAGTCCGAATTATACAAACGGTGGCAAAGCGTGTAAGCTAATAAATGGAAGTCGGTGTATTCAAATCTGAAAAAAGAGAACAAACGTACAAGTGCCTCGCATTCACGAGCATATCTAGACCAGGTGAGGTCCCATTCGAGATGGGGATGGATCCAGTAAGCTTATTATCAGCTAAATCGAGCCAGTAAAGATTTGATAAGTTGCCAATGGAAGGTGGTATCCCGCCAATGAAATTGTTCGAATTGAGCGACCTTTATAAAAAAATATAAAATCATTAGATATGCAATAGAAACAAAACATTGGATGAGAGAGACTACTGTTGAATGGGAAAAATACAAAGCTCTTGAATCCTTACAAATATCTCAGGCGTTGTAGGGATCCTATCGAGGGTGGTATTAAGCCGGAAAATCCACAACCGACTAGTATTCTGCAATCCGTGTCAAGAAATTTTTTAACATTAAACATTAGTGTTTACATCAACTAATCATCGCAATGCCATAAAAGAATTTCTTACAAGCTCGACAGCTTGGTCACGTCTCCAATCGCTGCAGGAAGTGGTCCGGTCATACCCTTATTATATGATAGGTCTCTACACGTACGAGTCGAGTTATAAAAACATGTCGAAAAAGAATGTTATAGGATCTGAAACAAAACACGGATTGAAAAGGTCTCTTACATCAAAAGATCAAAGGCAAAACGAAAAAGAACAGACAACTTACAGGGTCAGCAGCTCGGATAATTTTGCAACGTCTGACGAGAGTTGACCACTAAGGTTGATGCTCGCCAATGTGCTGAAATTTGACATTAACATGTTGCGCGCGTATAAAAGAGTTATTTTTTGTTTCACTTTTTTTTTTTCAAAGGCTATGGGAATTCTAGCAATTTACTTACATGGAGACAACCCGATTGTTAACACAGGTAATGCCGTCCCACCCGTCACCACATGGATCGGCTCCCGACCAATTTGGAGGAAAATTAGTCCATATGTTTATCAGAGCTTGTAATCCAGCAACTAATATAAAAATCATTTCGAACAACCCGAAACGATACAATCAGAAAGACAAATGAAAACAAAAACAGAACCTGATATATACCAGAAACCATAATAGTTTAAAAAACTGAAATATAGCAAAAATGTTACAAACTTACAATCATCATTGTTCGTCAATGCAGAAGTACGTAAAACTTGGACAAAAGCAACAAGCAGACACAACAGGTGATCTCCCCGAATCATCGTCACAAAAATTATACGAAACGAAACCATAAAAAATCTGGAAACGCCTTCATAAAAACGGCACCGACTTCACCACATTTTGACTTCGTGCTCGACACAATCCACAGAGTTACACAAAACAAACATATAGTAATAGTCCCTTTCTGCTCACTGCTGACAGCTCACCTTCATTATTCTTACCATTTCTCATGATCCGATTCTTACCGGTTCCCGTGTTACGTCTCACTCAAATGCTTGAAACGTCCAAGTAAAACATATTTTACCAGTTCAACCACCATAATATTACAAAAAAAAAAGAAAATTATGACTGCAACTTAAACAAATTTTTATTTACATTAATTAAACCATGCTCAAAAATTTGAGCAGAGCAAGTGGGCCCACCCAACTCTCTCTTCTTCACCATGTGAACAAAGTCAACTGCCTCCAGTTTTGACTTCCACTGCATATTAATTATATTATGATTTACAAATAAATCAATGAAATATTTA